ATGTTCAAAATCCCTAGCCCTGAGAGAGATGCAAATCAAGACAACTAGGAGATATCATCTCACCCCAGTAAGAATAGCAAAATTTAACAGAACAGCTAGCAACAAATGCTGGCGAGGTTGTGGAGAGACTGGAACCCTTATTCACTGTTGGTGGGAGTGTAAAATGGTGCAACCGCTGTGGAAGGCGGTATGGCGCTTTCTCAAAAAGTTGCAAATAGAGATACCATTTGACGCAGCAAGTCCACTACTGGGAATATACCCTAAAGAGACCATAAATGACATCCAAGCAGATATATGCACCCCCATGTTTACTGCAGCTTTGTTCGTAATAGCAAGGAGTTGGAAACAACCTAAGTGCCCATCAACGAATGGATAGAGAAGTTGTGGTATATTCACACAATGGAATACTACGCTCCTTTGAAAAACAAGGAACTCATGCAATATTATTCAAAATGGGTGACCCTGGAGGACATTATGCTGAGTGAAATATCTCAGTCACAAAGGGACAAATATTATATGGTGCCACTGTTGTAGAATGAGGCTGACATTGGCGTGGGGGTAAGGCCGAGAAAAACTGGATAAATTAGGTTTACTGCATTGGAGCCGATGAGGGAGAGAATAGTTTAAAATTAATATATTTTAGGGCATTATGATTATCATAAGAGTCCGGAATGAGGGTTGCAGAGTGGAATATACTTGGGGTCGGAGTGGGGATGTGCGGGGTGGGCGGGGGCGATTGTGTACCAATGAAGGAGTTTTTCTTTTGCTTTTCAAGGAGAGGAGCAAACTGGGGGTTGGGTGTGGGGGTGAGTGGGTGGGGAGAAAAGTGCAACAGTGAATGAATTCCAAAATCTCTGTAGATGTTCATGGAAATGAAAAATAACTAAATTAATTTATAAGAAAAAAAGTACATGAGTCAAAAATTAAAAAATAATAATATTCCAAGTAGAGGTTCTAACAGTAGCACAAATCAAGTTACAGAGGGAAGGTAGTTCTTAAAATAAAAGGTTTATTGACTAGCACTTTGTCTACTATAGTATAAAGGTTAGGAACCACAACATGTAGAGGCTCCTGGACCAAATTCCATCTACCACTGGGTTGTTTTACAGCTCAGAAGTCTGCATGCAAGGCGGAGGTGAAGTAAGGAACTCATTTACTGCCTGTGAAAACCTGCTGGAGGGTCAGCTATGGTTCTGGTCCTAACTCAAGGTCACATAACAAAAACTTTGAGGTTCTGGTTCAAGAGCACTTAACAGTTGTTAGCCTCTCTCTGGTATTGTCTATGTTACAGTACTGTTATCTTGATATCAATATTTTGTGGTGCTACTAAGATTGATCAAGTATTCTGGGATTCCCATTCTTCTCAGAGTTAGCCACATTTTGTTGTGGTTTAGAGACAAATACCTTTGCATAGTCAATGAAACACAGATAGACATTTCTCTGGTACTCCCTGCTTTTGGCCAAGATCCATATAATATTAGCTATAATACCCTTATTACCATGACCTTTTCTAAACCCAGCCTTCCCTTCTGACAGTTCTATGTTGATGTTCTGTTCCAGTAGTTTTTGGATAATTTTCAGCAGAATCTTGTTTCTTGTTGTTATTATGTACCGTAGAGTTGCCTGAGACTCACAGTGAACTTACGTACAATAGCCCTAGACCCTGTTCTATCCTGTGCCAATCTTATTGTCTCTGACACACCTACCCCCATTACCCCAGTCATTGAATCAGCCCATCTCATCAAGGGTCTTCCTTTCCTGCACTGTCCCTCCACCCTCCTAAGCATGACGTCCCTCTCCAAGGACTGGTCCCTCCTTACAAAATGTCCATAGTATGTCAGACAAAACTTCAAAGTTCTTGCATCCAAGGAGCAGCTTGGCTTCACCCTCTCTGGGACAAACCTGTTCATTCTCATAGCAATCCATGGTCTATTCCATACTCTTCTCCAGCACCAGAGCTCAAAGGCATCAGTTCTCCTTCTATCATCCCTAGGCATTTTCCAGCTCTCTGATGCATAGCAAGTGATTGCAAAGACCATGGCCTGTACCAAGTGCACCTTAATTTCCAGACTGACACACCGTTGCTCTTCAGTACTTTAGAGAGGTCTCTAACCTCAGACTTTCCCATTGCAATTCATCTTTTAATTTCCTGGCTGCTGGTGCCAAGAGTGTTGATTGTGGAGTCAAGCAGACTAAAAGTGAACAATCTCATTCTCTTCACCTTCCATTATGGCGCTTCCAATCAGCCCAGTAGTGAGAATCTTTGTTTTCTTGATGTTGAGCCTCAATCCATACTGAAGCCTGCAGTCCCTGATCTTCCTTAGCAAGCGCTTCAGGTCCTCCTCAGTTACAGCAAGCAGAGTTGTGTCATCGGCATAACACAGATTGTTGATGAGTCTTCCTCCAATCCTGATGCCACATTTCTCCTCATAGAGCTCAGCCTCCTAGAAAATCTGTTTTGCATCTAGTTTGAAAAGGTATGGAAACAGGACATACCCCTGGGGTACAGCCTTCCCAGTTTTGAACCATGTAGTGTTCCCTTGCTCTGTTCTGATGACTGCCTCTTGGTCCAAGTATAGGTTTCTCATTAGAAGGATCAAGTGTTCTGGGATTCCCATTCTTCTCAGAGTCAGCCACAGTTTGTTATGGTCCACACAGTCAAATACCTTTGCATAATCAATGAAGCACAGATAGACATTCCTCTGGTACTCCCTGCTTTCAGCCAAGATCCATCTAACATTAGCTACAATATCCCTAGTACCATGACCCCTTCTAAACCCAGCCTGGACTTCTGGCATTTCTCTGCTGATGTGCTGTTCCAGTCATTTTTGGATAATCTTCAGCAGAATCTTTCTTGCATGTGAAATAAATGATGTTGTTCTATAGTTTCCACACTCTGTTGGGTCACCTTTCTTTGGAATGGGAACAAATATAGATCTCTTCCAGTCAGTTGGCCAAGTTCTCCAGATTTCTAGACACAACTTGGTGAGCACATCTATGGCAGCATCAGTTAGTAGAAATATGTCAATTGGTATATCATCAATTCCTGTGGCCTTATTTTTGTCAATGTCTGAACTCCTTCCTTCATCACCACAGGCTCTTGCTCATATATTGTTTGATGAAATTCTTCTGTGTTTGCCAATTCCTTTTGCTATAATGACTCTGTATATTCTTTCCATCTTCTTTTAATACTTCCAGGATCATTTATATTTTCAAGAAAGTGTAATTGAATAAGAATTATTATTTTACTGTTCACTAAAGAGATTAAGTTACACAAAATCTCTGTCAAAATTTGGGGAATTGTTGATAAAAATCTGCAATTCCAGCAGCTGGCAAACACAAACGTGTAATGTGATATCATTTGCATATAAACCTTATGTAACATTTTGGGCTACTTCCTTAGGAAAAAGCTATAAAAATTTTAAAAATAGTACAAAGAAAAAAAAAGTACAAAGATTATAACACTTTTATGGCATCTGGGAATACATTTTAAATTGCTTTTCAAAAGGTTGCTGTCACACAACTATTTGCAATGGCTTGCATCACACATTGCATCAAACTCTTCTTTTTGCCATCAACATAAAAATCTCCTGTGAGTGATCATTTTAATTTTTTTTCTGTAGAATTTGAAAGTTTTTTTCTTTCTGATTGAACAGCAAGACATCTTTAGGCACAGATGGCCACCTGAGTTGTGGGCTGCCTTTTATGGACTACAACTCCCAAGATGCTGTGCGGGAGCGGTGACAGGAAGTGGCAGAACCATCTCCCGCCTCCACGCTGAGGCGGAGAGGTTCTATCCGGGGCCTTGGCGCTTCTCTTTCCTTTCGCGCCGGTTGCCGCTGCGGAGTGCCGCGGGTCCATGTGCGCAGTGAGCGGCACTGTTCCTGGCCCACTAGCACCCAAGCTCCCAGTTTGCCCGTGTCGGCGCAGCGATGGATCCCAACACCATTATCGAGGCCCTTCGGGGCACCATGGACCCTGCCCTGCGTGAGGCCGCGGAGCGACAGCTTAATGAAGTAAGGACGCCCGCCTGACGGCGGCAGCAGGCGGGCGGAGTGTGTGGCAGGCCGAGCCCACGGGTTCTGGCTAGAGTGGCGGGCGCGTCGCTGGCGGGGTCCAACTGGAGGGGTGGGACGGGGACCCGACGGTGAATGCCTCTGCCGGGGCAAGTCTCTGTTGCGGGCGCGGCGGCCCTGACAACCTTTGCATTGGAGACTGACTTGGGCCTCTGACTGTGCCCGAGGCATCAGGAGCCGGCTGTAGCGAGGCAGGCGTGACTGCTGGACACATGGCCGGCTCGGGTGCCCGGCGCTCTCTTGACTCTTGCCTAGCTCGTCCCTTGCGCTTGGGAGGGGGAGAAACTCGTTGGGAGCTTTTCAGACGTTTCCGGGTGTAAACGGCATCTAATCGTGCTAGGTCTAGACGGGCTCCTGGAAATGCAGATCTCCCCTGGGGGCTGCGGCCGGCAGCCTTGTCACTTCGCTGGGTGAAGCCTTGTCACTTCACAGTGTCAGTGGCACCACTTCCTTCTCTCCAGCTGAAATGCCAGAAAGGCAAGCCCGCGCCTTTTTGCCAGCGTAGGGGTAGTGCGGGACACCAGAGGGATTTTAATCTTCTGTCTGCTCTAATAATTCCTCACTAAGGAGACGGGCATGGAGCAGTAAAGATCAGGTGAAGTGCACTTATCTTGTTATAGACAGCCTAATGATTTGCTGAGTGACCTTGGGCAAGTTGGTTGACCCCTTGACCCGAAGTTTTCCCCATTCATAAAATTGGGTCACAGGGTTGCTGGGATGGTATGGGAGATAATACAAATCTGGATGCCTTGGTGGGTGTCAGAATCATAGAGCGTTTATTTCTTTTTTCCTCCAACATGTTGGGAGGACTGCCCCTTAGAAATTCTATTCGATTGTCTTTAGTTTCGTTCTTTGTCTATTCCTGCAGCTTGATAAATAACAATTTTAAAGCTTCTAAAAGTGCAACTAAAATTAATCTGCCAGGTCTTTTGGTATGTTACAGAATCTGCCAGCTTTAGTAGAGATTGAATGTACAATTTAAAAATAAAAGGAAATGCCACTTTCAAATGGAAATTAAATTGTTTCTTTCTTAGTAGGTACAGAAATTTTAAACATTTTTTTTTTGGCGTGAACGCAATATCCCTAATTGAACATCTTCTACAGTGATACACAGTAAATACTTTTATTAAGACCACCCACAGAACATTGACAAATTAAAGATAAAATGAAAAGCTACTTCAAAATAAAAAGGTATCTTTTATAAATGGGATCATACCATACCAAGAATGAAGATTACTTGCTTAGATTCTTAGACTCACCTTGGGAGTTTAGATTTCTTTAGGATATAAAATGTTGAATTAAAATGTGGCCTTACCTTGAACCATTGTTAAAACTTTCCAGGGATGATTCTTTCCTTTTTGTGTTTTGATTCATTGTGTGATGATCACAGGTTAAGATGCACATTATTCTGCTTATTAGGTATTAATGTAGTTAGTAAATTTAGCTGTTTAGTCCTAACAGTTTTTTACCAGACTTTTTTATATGATACGGTTCTGACTAAATATAACTATATAATCATTTCTTTAAAAAAACTTTTTTTAAACAAAAAGTTGATTCATTTCCTGCTTATTTGAACATAATTTATTCTTAAACAAGGATTGAGTGTACAGTTATATACACTAACGTCTTATAATAGATATCTAGGATAAGTATTTCACAAGCTTGTTTTTGGAGCATTTTTTACTTAACCATTTAAACCATTATCATTTTGGAGTATCTGCAACAGTAACTCTTCCATATAATTTCCATCAAAATTTGGTATGTGATTGCTAGCTATTTACATTTTACAGATTATTTTACTTAAACAACAGACCTTTATTATTAATTGGAATATTTATTCTCTGCCAGGATTTTTACACTGCTTCCTCCTCACCCATGCTCCCTTCATTGAATATTTTTTGCCTTGACTTTCTTGAACCACGGTAGAACTTTGATTTCAGAAACAGATCACTTTATCAGTTAAAAAAAACTCCAAACTTGGGTGTAGTTAGAAAGGAGAAGTAGTATCTTTTCTGGCGGACTCTGACATTGGGGAAGATTGTATGAACTTCATAAGCTAATTAATAACTTTGCATATATTTGCTGAATCTGATAATTTTAGTGAGATTTAGAATTATTCAGTAATGTCTCATTCCATGGAAGCAAATATTTTTGTTCTTTTAAAAGTAAAATCATTGATATTTGAATCAATCTCTAGCTAAGTAATCACTAACTCTGTAAAAAATATTGTTTAAGATTATATATGGTTAAGAACAGCTGAAAATGGTGCTCCTGTTTGTCACTGTTTTCCTGGCTTGTTCTCTCCTCCTTCACATTCCTATTCAGATGCAACCTTATCACTGACCGCCTCCTGACTGCCTTAGTCTCTGTCCTCCCTAATTTCATATTTTCCTTGTTCTCCTCACTATACTTTTTACATTGATTTGGTAAGGCCACTAATTATTATTATTTTTTTTTTTTTTTGCTACTGCTGTTTTTAATTGTTACACTTTACCTACTAACCTACTAGGGTTTCCTGTTGTATTAGATAACAGGATAGATTTTTTTTAAACTGTTTTACCACCCTCTCCTCAAAGATGTTTGAGTCTTTACTTTTAAGGATGCATATAAATAAAATTAGTAACATACTGTTATAGTATTACTGGCCAATAAGGATTTTGGTTTTGGTCGCCATTTTCAAGATACATCTAATAACAGTTGACATAAAGTACAGCTGCTAAGCAGAGGTTGGCAATTCTGACCCACTCAGCCAGGAACTTTCCTTAGTTTTGAGAAAGACCTAATGATCTGCCTCCGTAAATATTATATACAAAGAAGCCCTGTGAGGAAGCTCTGTTCCATCACAATGGGGTCCTCATGAGTCAGAATCAAGTTGAGGACATCCAACATGTCACAGCAACACTGTTTACTATTTAGTTGTAGTTTGTTAAGAAATTCTTCTCTGCAATTTGTTTTTTTAAAATTTTTGAACTCAGTGTCTTATTCCTAATTCTTGGTATTTTCATGTGACACGTTTTGCCATAAGATTGGAAAGAAAATTGGGAAAGTACAAGTAGTCTTGAAAATAAAATTGAAAGCCCCTAAAACAGTAGATCCCCCCTAAATAGTTCTGTGCTGGTTCTTGGGATCTAGTCAAGTTCTTTAAGTGTCAATTTCTTTATGTATAAAAGAAAAATACTAATAGCATTGATATGAATTGAGTTATGTGGCATGAGATGATGCATGTAAAAAATTTAGCAATGTGTTTGGCATCTAATATGTCTTCTCCAGATTGTTTGAATTATGATGTGTGCCAGCTGTTTAACATAATTTAGGATGTTAAACAGTTTGTTTCCTACTTCAGACGCACAGTTTAGTGGTGGTATCTCAGTGGAGACTGATCAGCTCTCATGGAGAAAGTTCCAATTATTTAGACACTGAAGTCACTAGATGATAACATTAATGTGACATGAAAATTGGCACAATTATAAGAACAATGACATATAACAAACAGTATTTTTTGAATAAAAAGATTAAGAACTTGAATAATAGAGGTGCTAAGAATATTCTTTGAATATCTAAAAATTTAATATTACAGCAATCTGTTTCTTCTTATTTAAATGCTGTATATATTTTGGAGATTATTTGATTTGTGCCTGTCTGGAAGTATAATGATCAGTGACATTTGGTGTTCATTTGTTCATTATATGTCTCATGTTCCAGCAATTAGTTTGGTTAAAAAGACTCTTCTTGTATATGCACACATACAGAGAGACACTTAGATATATTTGACTTTTCAAGTTCGTAAGATAAAACATCTTTGAAGATTTTGGATAGATTTATAATAGTTGACAAACTTTTGTGGTTTTTACCTATTTTGGTGTCTAGGGTTCTTCATTAGAAACTTTTCCTATTTACAAACTTTTTCTCAGGCCTTACTGCTCTTCTTATCTGATAGCTAAATTGTTCCTAACCTTAAATCTCATGAAGACTACCTAAATGACATTTCTAAGAAGGCCATGTCCCGACTCCCCTCTCCCCCTTCTAGCTTACATTGCCTTTTCTTTACTCTTCTGTAGGATGGGTGAACTCATAATTCAGTCTTTTTTAACACCCAATTCTGTGTCCTTTCTGTTTTAACTACATTATTGCCATCCTTTCTAGTCTAAAAGTTATATAATTTCTATTGAATTTGTTTATCTCCAGAGGACTCAAATCCAGTGCCATTGGAGCTGATTACAACTCAGAGCCAAAGTAGAATTGCCCTATAGCGTTTTCCAAGTATAATCTCAATGGAAGTGAACTGCTAATTTTTCCATTTGTAGTGAAATACCTTAACTGTTGCACCGTCAGCATCTTTCCTGTTTCTCTCCAGTGGAAAGATCTTTAGATTGAGGTCTCCCTCCACTTCCCCCCCCTTAAAAAAATTAGTGCGGAAACAATACAGACTAAAAGGTGGGCACTCAGCAAATAGTTGTTTCTTATTTTAAAAAGATTGGGGTGAAAGAACCTAAAATATTTGGGTGCTTGTATGGCAATATCCTTGATGCTAAAGATTTAGCTTTGTATACGGGATAAAGTCCTGGCTTTCATACATCTTGTCTTTAAATGGAAATTTAAAGTACAGTGTCAGGAAAAAAATATTTGAACTATTTATTCAGAATGTTGGCTCCCACTTTGGTTCCTTTGACAGCAAACATGTGTTCACCTGGCACTGAGTTAAATGGTTAGATGCAAAGAAATACATGGTTACTGACTTTCTGGAGCTACATAGTAAACCATTTTGCTGACTCTCATAGTACATGTTCTGAGGGTTAGAATACAGCTATATATGTATATGTAAGGAAACTCCTAAATGTAATTGTGGTTTTCAGGCAGATTAAAATCTCAACATCAGTATTCCCTTTTCTTTTTTAAAATTTATTATTTTAATGTATAGTGCATTGAAACAGATGAGGGAG